AAAATGGATTTAAAGTTAACAGCGTGGCCTTGTAAAAGACCATTTGAGATTTTTTGACTACAGTCTCTGGCTTTTGTCCTTTGGGGGCACAACCTGAAAGTTACTTGTTATCTGTATGTATTTTTTGGAGTTCTGATCTCAGAGCATAACTTTTTGAAGAATATGTTGGTACATCTGTAAAACAATTTACAGCTAGAGTGGAGGAGCTGGCAGCAGCAGCTGTGCAAAAGGCTGCTCAGCATGGGCAATTATTGCTCCAGCTGTTTGGACAAAGACACAAAATCCTAAGAGGGGAAAGGGTGGCGGATTTGGCAGCCCAGGAGCGGCGGCTGCATTGCCTGCCTGGAGCCGGGCTCGTGTGGACTGAGCTGGCAGGCTCAGAGTGACTGGGATTTCCACCCTCTCCCTCCCACGGGAGGCTGGCACTGGGGAGAGGCATCAGGCACCTGCCCGGAGATGCCGCCAGAGAGCAGGTGGACCGTGCAGCCGGGGAGGGGGGCTGCCACGGCCGCCAGAGTGCCTGCCAGTGCCCTCTGCGCTCACCAACATGTTTTACTTCGAGATGGTGATCATGGCAGGGACCATGATGCTGACCTATTACTTCGAGTACACAAGACACCTTAACGGTCAATGTGCAGGTCTTCTTCCGCTACAAGGGCTCCTACCCAGGGCCGTCTCTAGGCTGCCGCCTCTGGAAATGTGCCGCCCCAAGCACATGCTTGCTTTGCTGGGGCCTAGAGCCGGTCCTGACTGTGTATTATCTGCATAATAGTAATAACCTAACCTAGGTTTCTCACCAAGTTCTCCAGGGCTCATCCACACTAGAGCTTCTGGTTGTGCTGTAACTCAAGTGAATTGATAACCAATTAGTTAAAGGTAACTGACATTACTGTAGACAAACACTTGTAAATACTAACGTAGACACCAGCCACAAATATTTGTTACTTGTTATGGTTCATCCTAGGTCTTATCCCAGAAACAAAGCCTTTTGTAGATAGTCTATAACAACTGTATTAGTTAACTCAAGTCAATTGGCAGTCAGTCAATCAGCTTGAGTTCCAGCACAATCAAAAACTCTAGTGTGGACTTACTCTTGTGTTATATCCAAAAACTGAAGAGCATCAAAGCCAACTCCAGTCCCTTGGTGACAGACTGTTTCAACAGAAAAGAAGGGTGTGGGGAATTCTAGAAAAACAAAATGTAAAAGAGAAAACTTCAGTCAATCGTGTTAGGGAAGTTCTACCACTAATCCAATTTCCTGCATATAACATATTGGCAAAGGGTGTATCTTCATGGTAAAACACTTAACAAAATTAGCATTCAGTATTATGGGCCACCTCCTAAGCTGGTGGAATATAGACCCATTGAAACGAATGTAACTATTGTGATTTACACCAGCTGGTGATCTAACCCTAAATGACGTACTGTCTATTAAATAGGGCCCCTTGTGCTCATATTTGATATGAAATTCACAGTCAAATTTTCTTTAATTCTTTCCTCAGAGCCTGGGGTTGCAGCCAAATGTTTTGAACATTGTCCAGCCTAAGCACTGTGCAGCAATTGTGACAATCAGTAAACACTTACTGTACAGAGACTTTAAGTTACTGAACTAGCAGGATCTATTCTAACTCAATTGCACATTTCGGGCCTGATCCAAAGCCCACAGAACTCAATAGTGTCTCATGGACTTCAACGGACTTTGGATCAGGTCCATAGAGAGGATCTATCTAAGGGTATAAAAACTCTTCTTTCTGTGACCTTAATAAGCTGATGGCCCTCCTGCTACAGAATCTCCGAAACAGCAGGAATTTTACTCCAGGAACTGATGCCTTGAACTACAACGTTTGAAAAAGACTTAATAGTCCAAGCTAGCCCCCTACTAGGTTAAATTACAACATAAGAGCTTCCATGCTCAATTCTTCTTTCCTCATTGAAATGCTAGTGCTAATGTCCTCAAATTGCTTAGATAAAAACAAAAAAAAACAAAAAAACCTAATACGTCTTGGAAGAAAAGGACAAAACTTCCCTTATGAAAACGTATTCAGGTTGTGCAAAGAATGGAGAAAAGACATTTACAATTTAAACTACTAAAAAAATGAGCAACCTGATACTGCTCTAATTTTTCCTTTATCATAGTGGTATCTTCTATGATCTAAACTAAAAGTTTTGTTATTGTTTCAAATAGCCTGTTCCGATTTAATTGTTAATGGTTGCAATGGCAAGGCATGTGGTAAACAACTGATGATCTTACAATAATAAACCTATGCATAACTTATGTCTGTGATAACAGGGATACATAGAAAGATAACATTTTTCCTGACTGTTTCATCTTCTCCAATCCTATATGGAGGCAGTGTACTTATTTTTTATAATTATTTTATTATATTAGTGCCTAGAAGCTTCAATTGAGATCAGGACCCCATTGTGTTAGGCACTGTACAAACACCTAGTAAGAGACAATACCTGCCCTCAAAGAGATTATAGTCTAAATAGACAAAACAGGAAAATGGTGGGAAGGGAAAGTGACTTGCCCAAAGTCACACATGAGTTCAGTGGCAGTCCTAGGATAGGCAGCTTGGTCTTCTGATTCCTAGTCCAGCATCCTAACCAATGTGCCACGGTGGTTTTCAGGTGAAGTTTGTACAAATCTACTCCATCAGTGCTTCATCAAGGCACATAAAATCGACAGTATTTAGGAAAACAAGATAAACACTAATGTGCACAGACATTAAGGTTACAGGCATGCCCACAAGATAATCGAGACAAGACAACAGCCAACAGTTCAGATAAGGAAGGGAGTGGGGCAAAGTATGTAGGAAAAATTCCTGGAAGAACTGGATTTTAAAGGAGAGATTGGCCTGGTTTTTTACCTTGAAACTCTAGTTGCCCAGTGTATAAACTAATCTTACTCTTAAACATAAAACACGCTTTTAAACATTTGTTGCAAACATTTACAACAAATCTCAGCTCAGACTTTTCAAAGGGAGCTTTCTGATGCTTTTGCATGAAAATTCGCCTCTCAGGCTGTTATATAGGAGGCTTTTCACTATACACATTCTATTGATATCATGTCAAATTCTGAATGTCTGTCTTGGCTCACTGAAGACCTCAGGGTACTTTTTGATCAGTTTAAGATAACTGAAGTTTAAATATAGATAGTGAGAGGATGGCCAAATCAGAAAAGCACCTTGAAGAAACAGGTCTAGACTGAAAAATGGTAACTCTGAAGAGAAAAAGAGGAAGAAGGAAACATTGCAAAGGGGGCAGTATGTTTTTTTAAAAAATAATTAAAGAAAGTTTGCTTTACATAGCATTTTGATTTTATGAAATACTCTGAAAGTGTGGCCAGTTTTGGATGGGGAAATGGCGAAGGCTTCTCCCTAGACCCAACTCCTTCGGACACTATCAATCACCCTCAATTTGTTTTTGAAAGGCTAATGAGTGCGAAAAGGAACCTTCCCAGAGCTGATTAATATTCTGAGGTGGGTGAGGGAGTACTTACCTCACGACTCTTTCTGTGAGGTTGCTCTGTTGAGTGACCTCTCTCACAAAATACTTGCCAAGTAGGAAATCCATGACTGCAGGGACAGACACGTCACCAATCAAGAGAAGAAAGGAAAATGTAAAAACTTCTAGTTATATTTTATTACTAACTGGGAGTAGGGACTTTATGTTGTTTTTAATGCAATTGCCTTTAATTTACCTGACTGCCTAGCTACCATAAGAATCTGAGGTTCAAGAATATGATGTTACGCACTGTTAGGCCAGATCCTTAACTGGTGTAAATCAGCCTAGCTCCATTGACTTCAGAGCTACACTGGTTTACATCTGCTGAGGATCTGGCCCCGTTGCCTCTACTCTCCTCTGTATTCTCAAAGTTGTGTTAGAAACGTGCCTCAGAAGGCATGAGAAAGACTCATCGCCTGCAACATCTTCACACAATGGCACAGGCTTTAAGCCAGAACTCTCTATTTCTTTTGTCTGCTTTTTTTCTGCCCCAACCTTAACATTCCTTAAATGTTGGTATTTGTATCAAATAGCATTTCTGAGGCTTTATTAGACTCCATAGCCTCTGACAAGTTAAAGGAAAACTATTGTGCCCACTTGGTACATGGGGTGTAACTCAAAAACAATAGCTCCGCTCCTTTATTTATATATTTAGTCTATTGCAACCCCCTCTTAGTAAACCCCAGGTGTTTGTGGGCATAATGCTCCCAATGCAGCAGAAAAGAGTTTATTGTGAGGAGTCTTTTCTTCGCCACTTGTCCTAAACCTGTTCGCAAAGTGCTACATGGGTTCTACCGATCACCATAAAAATCAAGAAACAAGAAGTCCTCTGTAAGCCTGCCCAGCAGTGTCACTATGACATTAGTTGTGACAGCTTTGTGACCCTGTATTGTCTGGGCTTCATTCACAAGCCTCTTTCTTTTCTTTTTGCTCTCTGTCTGTCTCTCTCTCTCTCTCCTTGTTGTGAGGCGGGGGGGGGGGAAGGAGTGGGGGGAAAAAGAAGAGAGCCTTTATAGGCATTTCTATTTACTGTAAAAAAAAAAAAAGCAGTGGGCAAAGGGAAGAGTTGATTTTTTTTTAAACTACAGGGCAGCTACATTAGAAAACATTGGATGGAGTTACTGTAGTTATGGTTTCAAAAACCATCTGCAAACAAGTACAGATACCGTAGCAAACTGTGCCCTTAGGAATTCTTTCTTTTTAAGTTCCCTCTTGCTATTATAAGCCCAAGTTTGGCAACGAATTTATGTGACAGCTATGAAGGTAGTATTAAAATTGTGAATAGTGGCTAACAGTTTTCATGCCTCAATGCTAGCATCTTCACAATTTGCTACACAGCAGTGAATGCTAGACTGAGGTTGATGAATGAGATGGGAGGGGGCTGCAGACTGAAAGGCCCTGGTTCTTGTTCTTATTATCAGCGTATGTTATGGGGAGGGCTGTGGAAAGGGAGAGACGTGACCTGTGGGGCCCTTTCTTTCTTCCTTTCTCATGTTTCTGTGAGTGTGTGTTTGAGAAGGGGTGAGAATGAATGGAGGGGGACAGCCCGGGGGTTCCCTTTTTGTGACCCTCTGTTTTGAAGGTAAGGAGAGTGCAAATGGGAGGGAAGAAATGGGGGTGCAGACTGAAGGGCAATGGATTTCTCTCTCATTTAACACCAAGTCTGAGGAAAGTGGATGGGGGGGGGCTTACAGACTCTTGGCCCTTTCTAATGTGTGTGAGAGAGAGATGAGAGTGAGGTGTGAATGCAAGTGGACAGCTGAGAGGGAGGCAGGCTGTGGAATGCTCACTCTCTCCTGAGCATACATATAGCTGTGTTTGATGGGCTTTGGGGGAGCTAATTCTGAGGTGCCTCAGTCTCTTTCTCCCATTTCTGTTCAGCTGGTAAAGGGGGGTGAGGGAGTGGGGATGCAGGGTGTGTGCAGATGAGGGTGAAGGGCTTTAGAAAGGGGAACAGGCTGTGGAAGTTCGGGTATGTCAGTGTGTACTGAAATAGTGGGAGAGGGAAGTTGAGAAGGGCGGGGTGTGCCTAAGGGGAAGAGAAGCCTGGGGTTTCTGAATAGCATGACAAAGGGGAAAACAGACTGTCTTCTATTTTTTATGTGTGTGATTGTTGGGTCAGGTTGTGGATAGGCAGGAGCAGCTGAAGGGATGACAGAATACAGGGCCCTCCTTTTCTCCTCTGCACTTGTGCTGAATTTGAGGGAGAGAGGGTTGAAGAGGAGGAGGAGGTGGTTGGAGGAGTGTGGGGTGAGCTGGATGAAGTGGCAGTGTTGGGGGTTAAGGATGGGCGTGCAACCGTAGAGGAGAGACAGTGTGCGGTCCCCTTTCTTCCTCCTTTTTGTAAAGGGTCTTGCAGGGGAGTGGGGGCAAGTCAGAGTGTTTGAGCTCTCTACCTCCCCCACATCATGAACTACCCTTGGGGTGGGTGGGAGGAGGAGAAGCCATAATGATAAGTGTTTGAGAGTGGCACAGGGGAGCAGGTTAGTAGTGGAAAAGACTCAAGACTAAAGTTGAAGCTGAAGAAGAGAAAAGGAGCAATATGATCAATATGGTTTCATTGTTGGGCCCCGCTTACCTCCGCGGGAGACCATCTGCTCCCTGTCAATGCATCACCTGCTTGTCTGGCCTGTTGGCTGGGCAACCAGTGGGCGGAGGGATTAAGGAGATGGAGTGAGTTTGTGTTGCAGAGGGAGGCTTGTTTTGTTCCCTCATGCTGATCTGGAAGGTGGGGGGAGGTGGCTGGGATGAATGTGGGGAAAAGGGGCTGGACTAGATGGGAAGCAAGCTACTCACTTCTTTGGGAGGCCTTGAAACAGAAGGAAAAACAGCTACTTAGAACTGAGGCGAGGATGCTGCTGTTGCTCACATTTCTCAGAGATGCCGCAAGGAAGCCCCCCCCCCCTTTCCCTCAACCTTTGCTGAAGGACAAACTGGCTCTCCACCATCAGGGACAACAACAACCTGTTGCAGTAACTAAAATAGGCAAAGAAATTTGTTTCAGATTGCAGAGGTTTCAGAATCCTTTTCCTGCTCCCTGGAGTATTTATGTCGCACAGGGGTTCTCAAACTTAATTGCACCACACCCTCCGTCTGACAACAAAAATTACTACACGACCTCAGGCAGGGGGACATGAGCCTGCCCGAGCCCTGCTGCCCCAAGCAGGGGGGCTGAAACCAAAGGGCTTCAGCCCCAGGCAGGGGGCCTGTAACCTGAGCCCCACCACCCAGTGCTAACGCCCTGGGGCTTTGGCTTTAGTCCCAGGCAGTGGGGTTCGGGCTTCAGCTTTGGTGATGGGCCCTAGCAAGTCTAATGCCAGCCCTGGCAACCCCATTAAAATTGGGTCACAGCCCACTTTGGGGTCCCAACCCACAGTTTGAGAACTGCTGATTATCACTATAAAAATCACTCCTGATGGATGTAGGCAGAGTGCAGGCCTGGATTATGCCTGGCCTAGACTAAGCAGCACATTTCTAACTACAATATACTGCTTTATTTCTCCGATCTGTACTGACAGTTTGGTACAGAGAACAGATCATGATGGTGGAAGAGTGTGCACAGCACCACTGCTCATCTCATTGAGCAGTGGCCTATCTGCAACTAAAGTTATACAGAAGAGAATGGAAGTAAAAATTGATACCATCACCTCACAACTACTTAACTGAAAACATTTTTTCCAGGTTTTACAAGGGACTTTTCAAACTGCAACTAATCAAAAGGAAGGGTTAAAAATTGAAATTGAGGTTTAAAGCAGTATAGTTTGGCCTTGTAAAGAAGCACATTGTTATCCAGAAAGCTGGGGATATTATTGGAAAAGCAGAAGCCTTCAGGTGTTACACACCAGTGGAAGCACCGAGGGTGATAAGTCTGCAAATGGGATCCAAAATTACTGAACATTTATTGTAAATAAAATTTGATCCATTTTACAGATGGTTAAGAGTACAGCATATTAAATCCCAGACCCATCCATGCTAGGGTATTCAAGATACCACTGAGAAATTACTATGTGCTAATTCTGGGGAAGTAAAATCATAAAAACATAGATCTGAAAGTCCCACCTCCCCATCCCAACACACACACACTGAGGCAGGACCAAATCTACCTAGATCATCCCTGACAAAGTGTTTGTCCAACCTATTCTTTAAAATCTCCAGAGATGGAAATTACACATCTTCCTTGGAAGCCTATTCCAGTGATTAACAATCTGTACAGTTGGAAAGTTTTTCCTAGTACCTAACTCAGGGGTTGGCAACCTTTGGCACGCGGCCCATCAGAGTAATCCACTGGTGGGCAGTGAGACATTTTGTTTACATTGACCGTCCGCAGACACGCCCCCCCCCCCCCGCAGCTCCCAGTGGCCATGGTTTGCCGTTTGTAGCCAATGGGAGCTGCGGGAAGCAGCAGCCAGCCCGGCCACGTGCTGAAGGTTGCCGACCCCTGATCTAACCTAAACCTCCCTTGCTGTGGATTAAGCCAATTATTTCTAGTCCTACCTTCAGTGGACATGGAGAATGATTGATCACCATCCTTTTTATAATGGTCTTTTAATATATTTGAAGACTTATCAGGACCCCTCTCAGTCTCCTTTTCTCAAACCTAAACCAGTATTTTTTTAACCTTTCCTCCACAGGTCCGATTTTCTAAATCTTTCTGCGCTGCTCTGCACTGGGCTCCCTCCACTTTATCCACATTTTCCCTAAAGTGTGATGCCCAGAACTGGGCACAGTACTGCATCTGAGGTCTCACCAGTTCTGAGTAGAGCAGGGCAATTACATCCCCTATCTTACATATGACACATATTAATACAGCCCTGAATGACAGCCTTTTTTGCAACTGCATCATATTGTCAGCTCATATTCAATTTGTCATCCACTAGAAGCCATAGATCCTTTTCAGCAGTACTGCCACTAGCCAGTTATTCCCCATTTTGTAGTGGTGCATTTGATTTTTCCTTCCTAAATGTAGTACTTTGCACTTAACTTTATTGAATTTCATTTTGTTGACTTCAGACCAATTCTCTAATTTGTCAACATTGTTTGGAATTCTAATCCTGTCTTCCAAAGTGCTTGAAATCCCTCCCAGCTTCGTATCATCTGCAAATTTTAGAAGTATACTCTCTACTCAATTATCCAAGTCATTAATGAAAGTATTGAATAGTACTGGACTCAGGACTGCCCCCTGCAGGACTCACTGGATAACTACTTTTTGAATATGGTGTTTCAACTAGTTGTACACCAACCTTATAGTAATTTCACCTAGACCACATTTTCCTAGTTTACTTATTAGACTGTCATGTGGAACTGTGTCAAAAGCCTTACTAAAAACAGCAAGGTATAGCATGTCTACTGCTTCCCCCACATCTACTAGGCCAATAATCCTGTCAAAAAAGGAAATTAGATTGGTTTGGTATGATTTGTTTTTGAAAAATCCATACTGACTATTCCCTATAACCCCATAATCCCCTAGGTGTCTACAAGCTGATTGTTTAATAATTTGTACCTGTATCTTTCCAGGTATCAAAGCTCGGCTGACTGATCTATAATTCCCTGGAGCCTCTTTATTCCCCTTTTTTAAAAATAGGTACTATGTTGGCCTTCTCCATTTCTGTGGGACTTCTTTTATCTTCAAGAACTGATGGAGGATGGTTCAGCCAGTTCCTTAAGCACCTTAGGATGAATTTCATCAGGCACTGTGGACTTGAATACATCTAACTTACCTAAATATTCTTTAGCCTTTTCTGTTTTTTGCATATGTGGAAATCCACTCTTTATGGACTCTTACTCTGCACTCCCACAGAGCAGAGTCAATAATACTAATGTGCTGAACATAGTGGAGCTGTGAAAAATGTTTGCACTGAAACACCAACATTTGTCTTTCAGGGCATTTGATTACAAACTCAAAATTTAAGCCAGAGGCTTCCAAAGTAATGCTAAGTGTCACAGATCTTTCAAATGAACATAGACTGATTTTGTGCATTGCATCTAAATCAGACACCAGGAATTTTGCAGACAAAATCAGTACAAAATGGTGGCTTTGACCGAGTTTCCCTTTAGGTTTTAGATCTTTTCAATCTCAATGTAAAACTTGGAGACAGGGGAGAGGGATACACAAGCACAGGTGGAGTGAAGCCAAAGTTTCATGCAAACCCCTGTAAAGTGAAACCACAGAGATTTCCACACCTCTAGTACATACCAAAGATAATATATACACACAGGCAAACCTGTTTGTACATAAATCATTCCAAACAGAATGTTTCTCAAAAGAGAAACTGTCAACTATAGCAACTGCAAAAAATTTATTACTGTGGGGGTTTTATGCTGCAGAAGGCTATGCACGCAGTCTTAGTTTTACAATGAATCCTATCAAACAGAATCAGTGTAGTCTAGGGCAGTGCTTCTCAAGCTATCTGATGTGGGGGACCAGCAATTTTTTTTCCCAATGTGCGCGCAGACCGGCATCCGATGGCTCGCGGACCGGCACCGATCCGCGGACCACCACTTTGAGTAGCACTGGTCTAGAGATATGAGCACAGAACTGGGATTCAGGAAGTCCTCATCACAGTTCTGATGTGAACTCCCTTCTCTGGCCTTCAGAAGGTCACACTTCAACTCTCTGCCTCCGTTTTTCCCGTAAAAAGAATGAGAATATATATAGCTTGCAGTCAGGAGCATGGTGAGGATTCACTAGTTAATGTATGTAAAGTTTTGAACATGCAAAGTGAATGTTATTAAAATCTGTTTCTGTAGAAGTGACAATTGAATGTATCTCTAAGTAGACCTTGCTAAAGAACAGCAACAAAAATCTTCCAGGTAGACCTATCAAAACACCTACTGTATCTGGCCCACCAAGATAGAAAAGGAAGTTTGTTAGTATTTAATCTCGCTTCAAGTAGCTTTTTATGTGCTCCATTTGATCCTCAGATATATTAATGGAGTTTTCCATTGGCATTCAGTACCCAATAAGAGGTAGGTGCTTTTAAGCGTCCCAACTCACCATCCTCACTCGTTGCTTGAGCCAATATGGAGAAATCAGCCTCTTACAGTGGACAGATTTTTACTGGTAATGTTATTCTTTCATAGTCTATTGTAACTTCAGAGCAATGCATGTAGAAGGCGCTTGGAATATTTGAATTCTGGATTTGTCTTGCATTTTAAGAAGCATTTCATAAACCAATAAAAGGTTCTCACACCAGTTATACAGTAAATGTGGAAGGAAGAACAAAAGTCGCTTTTAAAATGCTTAAATCAAATAGACAACTAATTCTGAGAAACTGTAGCAGAGCACATAGCTCATCAAAGTACAAAATACAGCTTCTATACTCTCCTTAAACAACCTACTGGCAAAGTTGTCTGTATCTCAAGTACAGGTTTGTGCGTACATTTTTCTAAATAGTAAACTTCTATGAATAAGAAATTCCAGCTATAATTACCATTAATGTTATTAACAAATTCCAGATGAGAGAGGTTCAGGACATGAAGACAAAGAATGAGTTTACCATAAACAAACAAACACTTTCCAAGTTGATTTCTTCTCTCCTCCATCCATTTGGACTTGGTGTCTAAGCAGTGACAAGTACAATGGACAGAAGAATGCAGATGTAACATTTCTGAACCTTTGAGGAAATATACCAATCAGGTAAATTAATATCATTGCAGCGTGTTTTGTTAGACAGTGTTTCTCAAACTTTTTCATAGCATGCACCACATGTTAACAGAGAGATTGACTTTTGGATCACCTCCCCTCCCTTTAGAGATTGCATAACATTGCTGTTACAGGTGCAACAATCGCTTGTGTGGAAAACATCATATAAAGAAGGAATTATATATTTAATTGACTTGAGTGTTTTGAAAAGTTAATCACACTGTCTATTTTTGGCTCATTTTATCACTGCTCCTCTCTTCTGTTGTTCCCAGTTGGAAACAAGGAGAAGCAACCAGCACCATGTGACCAGCCAGCTCTCTGCAAACCATTAGTCTGTGTTCTGTAGACCAGCAGCAATCCATGGACAGAAACATGGTTCCATTTGGGATTAGTGGGTGAGAAGGTTCCCCACATTTAATATAGTTGGTACTGAAATAATTAACTGCTTTGCAGTGTAGAAATAACCTTGAGGATTACTTCCTGAGATGTTTTTGCAAAATGTGTTGTATAACTGACAAAAACACAATTATGCTTAAGTCTGTGTTGTACAGTCACTTTCAAGACTCATGAATGGAAGTTGAGTGTTAAATAAACCCATGACATTCCAGACTTCTGATATCACAGGCATAAAAATAAATGCTTAGCATTCAGGCAGCAAATTCACTAAATAAACCTCACATTACAATAACAGGTGACCAATGGTGAAAAAGCTTTTAAGTCATCATACATGAACTAGACATAGAGATACAGTTAGAACATAAGAACCGTCAGAGCGGGTCAGACAAATGGTGCATCTAACCCAGTATTCTGTCTGACAGTGGCCTGTACCAGAGCTTTAGAGAGAGTGTACAGAACAGGGCAGTTGTAATACATCACTTTCTCCAGCTTTCTGGCAGTCAGAGGTTTAGGGTTACCCCAGACATGGGGTTACAGCCCTGTCCATCCTGGCTAAAAGCCATTGATGGGCCTATCCTCCATGAACTTCTCTAATTCTTTCTGGAACCAGTTATTGTCATGGGATATTGTGATGGTCAAAAGTATGAGTTCCACAGGCTAATTGTGTGCTATGTGAAAATGTACTTCCTCTTTTTAGTCTTAAATCCACTGTCTATTAATTTCACCAGGTGACCCCTGGTATTTGTATTGTGGGAAAGGGGTAAACACCACTTCTCTACTCACTTTCTCCACTATGATGTTTTATAGACCTCTATCATATCCCCCTTTAGTTGACTTTTTCTAAACTGAGCAGTCCTAATCTTTTAGTTTCTCCTTGTATGGAAGCTATTCCACACACTTGATCATCTTTGTTGCCCTTCTCTGAACCTTTTCCAGTTCCACTATATCCTTTTGGAGATGAGGCAACAGGAACTGGACACAGTATCAAGGTGTGGGTGTATTATGGATTTATATAGTGGCATTATGGCATTTTCTGTCTTATTTTCTATTCCTTTCCTAATAGTTCCTAACATTGTTTGCCTTTTTGACCGTTACTGTGCACTGCACTGAAGTTTTCAGAGAACTATCCACTGTGTCTCCAAGATCTCTTTCTTGATGGGTTCTAAATTGGGTGTTACCACTTATTACATATGTGTAGTTGGGATTATCTTTCCAATGTGCATTACTTTGCTTTTATCAACATTTAATTTCATCTGCCATTTTGTTGCCTAGTCACCCAGTTTTCTGAGATCTCCCTGTTCTTCTGCAGTCAGCTTTGGACGTAACTATCTTGAATAATTTTGTATCATCTGCAAGCTTTGCCACTTCACTGTTCACTCCCCGTTCCAGATCATTAATAAATGTTGAACAGCACTGGTCTCAGTACAGATCTTTGGAGGACATACTTGGGAGTTGCAGATGTATTGATACAATATGCATTTATTTATAAGCTAGACATTGTATTGTTTGTATAAGTGATGGATTATACATCCCTGGGGCCTCAGCCAATTTAGGGGCCCCTGGAAAAAGCTCCCCCCGCTGCAGCCCCAGGGCTGGAGGAACTCTCGCTCCCCGCCATGGCCCTGGGACCATGGCAGGGGCACAGAGCTTCTCTGGTCTTGGGGCTGCAGTGGTGGGGAGGGGCAGAAAGGAGCAAGCAGGGGGCAGGGCCACAGGGGAAGGAGCAGAACAAGGGCGGGGCCACAAGCGGAAAAAGGGTGGAACAGGATGGGGCCACGGGCAGAAAGGGACAGGGCCACGAGCAGAAAGGATGGGGCAGGGCCTTGGTTCCAGTGCCAGGGCCCCTTCCACTTGCTCCAGCCCAGGGCCACAGGAGACCTTGATCTGCCTCTGGTTTGTATTTTGTATTCAAAAAACTTACATTCTTTTTCCTGCCTGGCCTGCACCAACTGTAGGGACAATTACAGCAAGTTCTGGACCCTCCCAGTGAAGCAGGAATTGCAGGAGCCTTCCATCACTGCAGCCCTGGTAGGAAGACTTTCTGCAAAGGGCAGCTCAAAAAACCAAACTGAACTAAGCTCTTGGGGTTAGTCCTACTCTGGGATAGACCCATGCAACTCTCCCTGAAGTTTTGCTTGCACTTTAACATCAGATTTAGACCGTTCACTAATATATGCTGGCTAGCATATACATATACATCATATTATTAATGTGTCTTATCCTCATCATATGCATATTAATGTTATTGGTACTTAATGCATACTAAGTACAAATATTGTAACAGTGATATAGCCTAAATTAGCCTATTCCATAATCCTGTTTGCTGATGCTAAGTATCCCATAACACCATGCATTTGCTGAAGCAAGCATTTGGCACAGGCAGATAGGAAACTTGTCAAAAATCAAGACACTTTCATTCTCTGTCGTAGTACAAGCCACGGAAGTACCTTCACAGATCAGCACCTGGAATACTAATATCCCCAAAACAAAGATAAGGTTGGAAGAGAACAACAAGTTAGGGAACTGGAATAAACTGATGGGTTGTTGTCAAGGTTCCTCCCCCACTCTGAACTCTAGGGTACAGATGTGGGGACCTGCATGAAAAAACCTCCTAAGCTTATCTTTACCAGCTTAGGTCAAAACTTCCCCAAGGTACAAAATATTCCCCCCGTTGTCCTTGGAATGGCCGCTACCACCACCAAACTAATACTGGTTACTGGGGAAGAGCTGTTTGGACGCGTCTTTCCCCCCAAAATACTTCCCAAAACCCTGCACCCCACTTCCTGGACAAGGTTTGGTAAAAAGCCTCACCAATTTGCCTAGGTGACTACAGACCCAGACCCTTGGATCTTAAGAACAATGAACAATCCTCCCAACACTTGCACCCCCCTTTCCTGGGAAATGTTGGGTAAAAAGCCTCACCAATTTGCATAGGTGACCACAGACCCAAACCCTTGGATCTGAGAACAATGAAAAAGCATTCAGTTTTTTACAAGAAGACTTTTAATAAAAAATAGAAGTAAATAGAAATAAAGAAATCCCCCCTGTAAAATCAGGATGGTAGATATCTTACAGGGTAATTAGATTCAAAAACATAGAGAACCCCTCTAGGCAAAACCTTAAGTTACAAAAAAGATACATAGACAGAAATAGTTATTCTATTCAGCACAATTCTTTTCTCAGCGATTTAAAGAAATCATAATCTAACACATACCTAGCTAGATTACTTACTAAAAGTTCTAAGACTCCATTCCTGTTCTGTCCCTGGCAAAAGCAGCATACAGACAGACACAGACCCTTTGTTTCTCTCCCTCCTCCCAGCTTTTGAAAGTATCTTGTCTCCTCATTGGTCATTTTGGTCAGGTGCCAGCGAGGTACCTTTAGCTTCTTAACCCTTTACAGGTGAGAGGAGCTTTCCCCTGGCCAGGAGGGATTTCAAAGGGGTTTACCCTTCCCTTTATATTTATGACAGTTGTATTTTAGTGACACGTAAAGAAATGTGTAACTTGTAAAGTATCATAAATAATACCAGCTGAAATGTGTCTCTTGGGGAGCACATCTTCCACATAAGGTGACTGTAACATCGCTGCACGGGACTATTCTTTGGAGACTGCTACCATATAGAACCTTTTCTTCCTGTACCCTATGAATAATCCAGACTGACATTGGTTATTTGGTCTCTTGAGCATATTTCATAATACACCAAATTGTGGTAAAGCAATTGACTATACAATTTATCAACAAGACCCACTGTGAGTAGTGTTAATCAAATGACATTTAGAAAATTGGTTTAGCAACATAGTCTGGCACATAAAACATATTCTGCACCACGGCTTACAAGCAACTCTCTTAGTCTCTTTTGTAGCTAACATGTTAATGACAATCAGCAGGGACTATAATAACAATGATAGAGACTGCCACTGAACCATCAATATTACTCCTGAAGAAAAACAATGTATGAAAGATAGATCAGATTGTCTTCTTACTTGACTTTGTCTCCTGAGGCTTTTCATAGCACAATACTAACCCTCATCCCTGGCACACATTGCCTAATCATACTATTCAATGCAATGCAGGTGGCTGTTTGTTTGTTTTTTTTTAATGTACATTATATCCTACACTGAGCCACAGAACTGGTAATTTTGCACATACTGCATAATACCTATAGTATTTCTTATGAAAGAGGGGAAAAAAGTCATCTTAGATTGTTACAGAAAATGATAATGCCAGGAAAATGTAACAGATCTAATTATCACACACTTCTGTTTACCTTGAAGTCTGCAACTAAATGCTTTGCATTTCAATGAAAAGTGTAGGAAGATTCATGTGTATTATGTATTGTTTGTATTACAGCAATGCCTAGGGCCGCTGCGAGATCAGGGTTCCATTGTGCTGGGAGCTGCACAAACACATTGTAAGTTTTGGGAGGCAGGGACTCTCTCTTACTACTTCACTAGGCAAGACAAATGATAAGGGAAACAGAAGCAGCAAATGGTGAAGTGACTTACCCAAGGTCACAGAGGAAGTCAGTGGCAGAGCTTTTAAGAAAACCCAAGTCTCCTGAGTCCCAGTGCAGTGACTTAGCCATTGGACACACTGCGTCCCCACACTGTAAATGTAATTTCTAAAGTATTACTACAACTACTAATTAATAATAAACCACCAGTCAAAGTGGTAGAGAAAGTAAGTTAATTTGGGGCACATTGTACTGATTACCAATTGGAAATATAATGGTATGTTCCACATCATCTCATTATATAGTATAACTCCACTGCTTTCTGCTCATTACTACTACTTGAGAGTTTAACAATAAATTCAGGAAAGGCGTTGAACCATGGAACCATGATCAGAACTCAACCATCATCACTTTGTGTTTTCAATGAGGAAGAGAGAAGCAGAAGAGAAACTGTCCGTCATTTAAAACAAGATTGCCTATACTGGTCCCATCATACTGTAACCACTACAAAGAGTAATAATAAAAGAACTTATGAGAATACAAACCTAGTGATAAATCACTAGTGGCTTCAATATTCAAATTAATTCCTTCGATTAATTAAGTTATTTCCAATAACACTTTTGACCAGCCATATGATTGGGGATTGTTTCTTTCTAGGGAGTAATGAATGTATTTTGTTTCATTGCCCAGCCCTTACTAACAACATACACAGAAAGAAGAACCAAGACATCCTTCTGATCCTTTCCTAGCACCAACCTGCAAGCAGAATGTATCCTGTATTCTTGCTGGAAATATACAAGAATTGTTCACATTTATAATGACCATTCATTATTTATACTGAGGTAGTGCTCAAAGGCCCAATCCAGATCAGGGCCCCATTTTTCTGGGCGCTGTATAAGTACATAAAAATACCACAGTTCCTGCTCCAAAGAGCTTACAATGTAATTAAAGACCATATGCACCAAGTGAGTTTGTAAAAAAAAAAAAAAAAACACAATAGAGAAGAGAATAAGGGTAACAATCATCAGATATCACACACAGTTACACAGGCTAACTACATGCACAGCTTGATGACTCTGAATCATTTTAACGGTTCTTTTCTCTGCTTGGGATTATTTGCCTTGAGTTTGTTCCCTGGCTCCCTGTAGAAATCACAGCGGAAGTGGGGCTTGAGGAGGGATTTGAAGGAGGAGATGGTACTGGGGGTGAGAGTTCCACATGTAAGGGGCAGCATGAAAAGCAAGCACATTTGGAGACACAGACATACCGCTAATAGAATGGCTGAAATGTGGGGGTAAGGTGATCAGAGAGAAGGCAAGATTATTTAAACTTGAGGCAGTGAAATATGGGTAGCCAGTGGAAGAATTCAGAAAGGAGGCTGATAACTTCAAAGCCATGGGAAAGGAGGATGATATGAGCAGCTACATTCTGTGTTTGAGGGGAATGGTCTCAGCACTTGGGAAAACCAGAGAAGTGAAGGTTAAATCAATCAAGCTATGAGATGATGCGGGCCTGGGTGAGAGTTCTGGCAGTGTGAAACCAAAGAAAAGGTCTCATCTGAAGAGATGCTATAGATACAGCAGGATATGGATACAGCATGGATGTGTGGGGCAAGAGGGAGGATTCAAAGATGACCCCCAACGTAATGAGCTTAAATAATAGAGAGGCTGCTGTTTCTAAATGTCTTGTACTGCCTTGAAAACCTCATCCCCTGTTAGGCATAGTTATGTTTTCCTTATTCTAATGAACTTCCTTGTTCAGAGTTAGGAGAAAGCTATGGTTCTTCACCCTCATCACATGACAGAAACAATTTTAGCTAGATTTTTTTAATCGAAGTGTTGCTTTTATCTAGCCAGAGAGAATTCTGGGAAATGCTGCTATTCGATTTTGATGTAAAATGAGAGGTAGAGCTGTCTTG